ACTATGTCTAGCTACCACAAGAGCAGCACAAGAATAGGTTACTAAAGAAAAGGTGTTTGTTTCTTTTTAAAGGCTCACTCATTTATATTTCTGAATGTTAATTTTTGAAAAATATCTCCTTCTACCTGAAGGAAACACTTACACAGTCCTGGGGTGGTGTTGTAGGTGAGCACTGGTTACTACGAGTCAGAAATGGCTCGATGGCATTTAACAACAAACAACAAACTTGGTCCTTCGAGGTAGAAACATTGCAATAAAAATCTCCAGTTATTAGTAACATAGAAATAGGTCTTTCTGAAGTTACTTTGGTTGCTCATTGGTTGAGTTGTTCCATTCAATGAATACTTATACCAAGTGTCTACTAATTTCCAGTGCTGATAATACCATGATGAACAAAGATGACATGATTCCTGGGCTCAGGAAGCTCTCCTCTAGGGAGTAAGCTACTCACTGCTTAAAACTAAGGCACAGGGACAAACTCACACGTATACACCATTGAGAAATTGTGCAAGGCATTCCATTCTAGTGCAGTTGCGTGGAATCCTGGTGTGGTGTTATAGGTCAGCACTGGACTGAGAACCATAGGGTCAGTAGTTCAAAACCACCAGTTGCTCTTTGGAATTCCTCTACAGGGTTGCTATGAGTTGGAACCAACTCGATGGCACTTAACAACAACAACAACAACAACAACAGGGTAGTTTCGATGGTCTGATCTGTGGATCAGTTCTACTTCCTCTCGACAGAAACAACTCTACACCAGGCTTCTGCTCAATTTAGTTGAAGGAAAAAAACTGCAACGAATACACTTCTGAAGGCTACTGAGCCAGGAAACTCTCTTGTTTTACAAAGAAAAACAATTGGAAGTTAAGTAACTTATTCAAGGTCACCAAGTAATCTCGTAGAGTTGGGATACAGACCAGGCCTCTTCACTGTTGAGTGACGATATGTGTTTTCCTCCATCACAGAGCTTCTCCCAGGCAATCATGGGATGGTAGAGTCTTCATAGTCTACCCTTGCCAAAATCCACACAAAGATCCCCTTCGAAAACTGCCCCAAATAGGAGCCTTTGGGTGGGCACTGTCAGACAGGCCACCCATCAGCAGGGTGACCCCAGTGAAGCATCACACCTGAGACAGGGAGTACCTGGGCATCCAGTGCAGTGTGAATGACACCAACTAACTGCCTGTTGCAAGAGGGTTTTTTTATGCAACGAGCTGAAGACATGTTCAGCTGAAATGATAGCGTGTTCATCCAAGGAGTAATTTATTGACCATAAGGCCACTTGGAAAGCATCATAATCTCTACCTATATTTGCATATGCCAGCTGTGAATATGAAATAGAAACCTTTAAACAGGCATCAAGAATAAGACACTGGGAAACCTCTCTGGCCTATTAAAAGGTCACTAAATGTTATGTATAAGAAGATCAGAAGGAAAATTGGAGGAGGAATTGAACCTTACTCAAAAGTCTACTTTTAATCTATATTAATAGCAAATCAGGTATATTGCATTGTTGCCTACAGAGACGATGTAGAACTTGACATGTTTTATTTCTCTTCAAGATTGGAATTGTGCCCTTTTCCCTGCATTTCTAAGGACAATCTACAGAAGGCATAAAATCCCTGCGAAGAGCCTCTGAATAACTGATGATCCCACTAAATTATGCAGAGACGTCACATGGCTTCTTGAATGGGACATGGTCTGCCTTACCATTATGGTTTCAGCTAAATGGGTCCTCAGTGCCTTAGACCATATTGGCTACCAAGAGCTCTCAGCATCAGGAAGGCTGCCTTCCAACTTGGTTCTGTATGATTAGCTCTGGCATGTGGCATTTTTACTGTTATACAAGGGGGTTTCAAGAGTGTGGAAAACTGTGATGAAAATACCATGGACTTTTTTCCACGACCATTTTGAAGTCCCCTCGTATCCCAATTCTTCAATGCTCACTAGCTACATGTCTTAGTCACATTGGGAACCTGTTGTACATGTGCCAACAGCCATCGAATCAATTCTGGCTCATACTGACCCTTTAAGACAGAATAGAATTGTCCCAAAGAATTGCAAGGGTGTCATCTTTATGGAAGCAAATGCCGCATCCTTCTCTAGTGGGTTCAAACCACCAACCTTTTGGTCAGCAGTTGAGTGCTTAATTGTTGCACCACCAGGACATACGGTCATCATTATTTAGTTATTGCAAAAAGGGCTTCCACTAACGGCCTAGAGAAGGTCTCAATCTTGACAGAGTTTCTGAAGTGGACTCTGTATCTGCCTAAGTGGACTGCTGGCCCTGCATGGTCACTGGGGTTCTCACAGAGCCCAGGATTGATCCACCATTCGACTGTCAGTGCCTTATGTTCAGGCGGAAGCTGAACAATGAATAAGGAAGACTGAAGAAGAATTGACGCCTTTGAATTATGGATTTGGTGAAGAATATTGAGTAATTAGCTATACTATAAAATATACCTGCCAGAATAAATTCATCATGGAGGAAGTATGGCCAAAATGACCTTTAGAAGGCAGGATGCCCAAACTTTGTCTCACAACTTTGCACATGTTAACAAGAGGGACCCATCCCTAGAGAAGGATCTCATGTTTTCTAAGGTAGTGGGTCCGTGACAAAGAGGAAGACCCTCACTGAGAGGGATTGCCACAGTGGCTGCCACGATGGTCTCAAGCATAGGAATGATAGTATGGTTGGAGCAGAATCAGGCAGTGTTTAGCTATGTTGCACACAGAGCTGTTCTGAGTCAGAACTGCAGGATGGCACCTAACAACAACAACAGAATTGATAAACACACAACCTGGTAGACATGCATGGGTCTACGTTCCAAGGCTCTGCCTCTCCAAGTGACCATGGTTGAAATGACTATTCAGTCACACAGGAACATGAATGTAAACCTGCTCTTCTTCCAACAAGGCAGGCCTGTGCCTCTACATAAAGAAATGGTCACCTTTGGACTTGTTTCTCTGTAGCCTCCTGTGTCCTCAACTAAAGCTGGAGGTAGCAGCCCCCAAGCTCATCTTGGCCCTGAGGCCATTCTGGATGGTGGAAGTGAGTGAGCAAAAACAAGCCTGTGCAGCCAGGTCCGTGGCTTCTCTCCTACTGAACACCCAGTCCACTCTACTCCAGAGGCATAACCATCCACATCTACAGGTCTGCAAACACTGCGCTGGCATAGCTTGTCACTACAGCTCTACAGGGAGATCAGGTGCCTTGGGAACCCCCATGATAACAGAAACTGAGGTCCATGCAGCCCCAGAGTGCCACCTCAAACCAGAGATGTCACGAGACTGACCACAAAGTGAAGGGTCCAACATACCAGCTACCTAAATGGTGGTGGCACAGGGTGTAACATAACCTAAGGATGGCACAGACAACCGGGATCTTTGCAAACTCCACATCAAGGCCTGTGGTGTATGTGTTGAGATGAGGGCCTGAGTGGGTCAGCTGCCTAGGCTGCAACTATGACAGAGCCTGGCCGTGCTTATGCTGGGCATCCAGGACCCCTAACGGGCACAAACTGCAGGTGCAGAGGCAGGAACTGGGAATGTTGGCCCATGTGTGGCTGGTTGGTTGCATGTTGATCAATCCTATAAAACAAAACCAGTTGCTGTTGAGTTCATTCTGATCCAAGGCAATCCATTGCATTTCAGAGTAGAACCGTGCTCCATGGGATTTTTCAAAGGCTCTGATCTTCTAAAGTAGGTTGCCAAGCCTTTCTTCTGATGTACTTCTAGGTGGATTTGAATCCCCAGGCTTTTTGTGAGTTGATGCCAAATGCCTTAGCCATTTGTGACACCCTCAGGAACCAACGAGGGTCAGAAATCTATCTATCCAGATTCAGTGTCCGTTTCAAAGCTGGCCCATACAGCACATTTTTGGAGTCGGATCCATAGAAGAAGCTGTTGCCATCCAGTTGACTCTGACATACAGCGATTCTAAAGAACAGAGCAGACCTGCCGCTGAGGGTTTCCAAGGTTGTCATCTTTAGAGAGCAAGCGGGAGAAAGATGAGGCTTCTTTACTGACTTGATGGCATTTAACAACACCAATAA